GTAAACCTTTGTTGGCCTTGTCTGGTGTAAACGACGTCTGGTGTAAACCGTGTCTGGTGTATAGACGGTGTCTGGTGTAATCGATGTCTGGTGTAAACTCTTCTCTGGTGTAAACCTTTGTCGGCTTTGTCTGGTGTAAACTTTTCCATGGTTACTTCGTCTGGCGTAAACAACGTGTGGTGTAAACCGTGCCTGGCGACATGCACCATCATCATCATTATCATCATCATCATCATCATCACCTTCATCATCATCATCAGCATCATCATCATCATCATCATCCTTATCATCCACATCATCATCATCATTATCATCATCATCGTCGTCAGCACCATCATCATCATCATCATCATTACCAGCAGCTACGTCATTGCAATCGTCATCGACCTCATCGTTAGCTCATGATCACAATAGCATATCACGGGCGTATCGTGAGATCATCATCTCATGGCACATCATATTTTCATATTTGATGTCATGTCATATTTTCTTTCACGGCATGAGAGTTACATGTGTTTCAGGTTGTGTTGTATTTGTATACTTGGCTTGAAATAGACCCAGCTGACTCGATGTGTTATTGTAGCTGATTGGATTTTTTCCGTCGTTTGCATCGGCATGACGGTGACGGCTTTAGCATGATCAGCATCAGATTTGTTGTTACAGCTGCTTGAATTTTTTCCTTTGTTGGCATCATCATGACGGTGACAGCTTTTAACATGATCAGCATCATTGACCTTTGTGTCGTATGGCTCGAAGGCAAGTGGACTCGCTTATTCTCGATCGACGGTCGGCAGAATCCGATCCGTGTGGTCGGTAGGGTTCATGAACCAAACGTATCTTTATACATAGATCAGTGGCGTTGGCGCGAGACCGCGAGTTGTGCGAATCTCGCCAGCACAGCCAATTCAACCGTGCGATCAATGGAGCTCATGAAACAAACGTATCTTACGTAGGTACCATCGACTTTATACATAGATCAGTTGCGTTTGTATGAGCATTGGTTGTCCTGATGCCAGGTTGGGACGTGCGATTTCGCACACTTCGGCGGCTCTTACTACCGGGACTAGCGTTTGAGCTCGACCGGCGCTGGATAAAAAAGAATCGACCGGGACTACCGTTTGGGCTCCGAAGTACAGTGCAACAGAATATACATTAATAGATTTGGTAATAACGTGATAATAGTATCATAATCATAATGTATATATATATATAGATATATATATATTATATATTGTGTCATCTCATCATCATCTCAGTTTGTTTCATCTTAATGTTTTGAATCATCATATATCATCTCTTCATTTCTTTAGTGCTCATTCATCTTCTGTTACTTCGCTTTTCTTCCCTTCTATTTGTTCTCTTCCGCCTACTTGCTTTCGGGCCACCCTGTCGTCTAGTTATTAAAAAAAGCCACTGATGAGTTGCAAAGAGCCAGCAAATGTTGTATAAAGCCACATACCCACATTGCTCCTGTGGGTTTGGTGGTTGAAAAGGCAGCAACCAAGGAAGAAAATAAT